TTATCGTACTTGGCCCAATGTACTATATTAGACATCTTTTTTGCTATGAACTGTGTTGCTCGACACAACACTGTGCCAAGACGCTGTAACATCAGTTAAAATAGGTCAACAATAGTCGCATGTGATCATGGCAAACAGTTAATGTAATAAACTTACTTGGTAGTTCATGGCAAATTCTAATACAAATATGAACTGTCATACATACATTATGGTATAATTCAAAAGTACACGTCAATACGACTCCAAAAGATTTTAACAAATCTCAATATGACTTCGCAAGTAGAAGTTATGATAAATTCTAACATTATAGCCTCTATAAAAAAATTAAAAATTAAAAATTAAAATAAAATAAAATATAGTGAGAATTAGCTATTGGGATCTAAAAGAAAGTTGTAGTACTCGGAAATACCTACGTGTGGATATAAAGAACATAAAAAACGGAGCTCGTATGCGAAAAATATGACCTTCCAAAGATGTAGCAGTCTGAGAGCATGACACATGGCAAAAACCCTAGCTACCTTGGTTCACGATGTGAGCAGGTATTCTCACGACGTGAGCGTGCTCCTGAACACTCCTCAAGGCTAGAATGCAGATGGCAAGTATATGGAGTCATATGTTTAGGCCTCACGACGTGAAAATGACATTTTCATGACGTGAGATGTTATCAGGACACCTTCCAATGTAGAAACCCAAATGGCAAGTCTACGAGGTGATACAGCCATATTTCATGACGTGAGCATGAATGCTCACGACGTGAAAGTGCCCTAGACACCCTATAAATAGCAAGTTCGACCCTTGCTCTCATTACACCAAATTTTCTTTCTCTCCCTCATTTGCTGAAGGTGTTCCTTGTTCCGAGCCTGACGATCACGAACCGTTGACCATTTCTAGTTAGATTCTATCAAATCACACTACAAGGGTGAATTTCACGGCCCCACTTTTTAAATGTTTTCGGGGGAGAATGCATGCTAACTATTATATACAAGTTAATATTATGTTTATATGATCGTATGTTCGGATCAATATAAAATTCTATTAACCGAGATATAGTAGTTTTAAATCATATATACTTATGATATATCTGATCTTTTGAAACTATACAACTATGGTATGTTGTTATCATAAGTTTTTATGTTGGTTAAAACCTGATATTGATCTATATATCTGATAATTTGAAGTCATACAACTATCTTTGACTTGTTAAGGGTGTTGTTATTATTGGTTTTATGTTAGTTAAAACCCCGTTTTACTTCAAATTATAGCTGTTGTACGGCCTAAATATTATTAAAGTTATGGGTAATGTTTAAAGCATAGTCTAGTAACTTAGGGTTTTAGACACGAATATGCTTTCACTGTTGGAACTATCGAAACTCGACAAATCTACATGAGGTATTCAATTCTTCAACTAAGACTGAAAATCTTAGTAAAATCCTCTGACCTGTAACCGCTAATCCCGTGTGATCGAGGAAGTTCTGTATAGATCTATACGGGTTGACACCCTCACCCGTGGTTGCTAGCTACAACCCACGGTTTGACGAAACCCATCGGGTGACGAACTGTCCTTTTGTTTTGTTTGTGGGTCCGGCGTCGATGATGCGCGCAGAGTATTTGAACTGGTGCACCCCTTTGTATCACCAATCAGAGGTCTTGAACGCCATATAGCAGTGATTATGGACTCATGGTAGCGCAATTATACTTTATACACATTATACTTTGTTGATATACAAGTATTAATGTTAAGTATAAGATTCACAAACACTTATACTCAGAGTACATGAAACTATAGGTATAGCACTTATTCAGTAAGTAAACCATTATACCTATGATATATACAATATGCTGGAGACAAGTATAAGTCAGAATAACACTTTCAAACTATGTTTTATACTTTTTGAACTTGGAAAAAGTACTATTTTTACTCAGAGTCAAAACCTGAGGACTCACCAACTTTATGTTGACGTATTTTCAAAACGCATGTGTTTTCAGGAACTTAATAAGTTGGAATGTTACTCGATTAGGTAAACTTTTGTTGACAATTAATATTATCCTTTTTGTTGGTATGGAACGTCTATCTGTTAAGACGTGTGTGATATTTCAGATACTATGTAATAATGACTAGGAATACATGAACAATGTAACTTTCTATTATCAATAAAGGTATGTAGTTTATAGAATGCTTTTGTACTGTTTAATGTATGTTTAATAACTGTGATAGAAAAATGAAGTTACACAGCCCGGTGTTTCCGCCGCCGGCCGGGGGTGTGACACATGCCACCACTTGAATGGTATTAAATACATCTTGCGTTACCTTAAAGGTACTACAGATATGGGTCTACTCTATCCATACGCGTTATCGAGTGGATCTACCAAGAATGATACTTGAACTAATGCGACCTTTGTTGGCTATATCGATGTAGGTTACTTATCAGACTCACATAAGGGACGTTCCTAATATGGTTATGTCTTTACCATCAATATCATGGAGGTCTTGTAAACAAAATCTAGTTTCTATTTAGAATAATCACCCTGAACTACTCGCACTTTATGTGGAAAATAGAGAATATATGGCTTCGAGTTGTAATTAGCCATATTCGAAGTACATGTGATTTAGATTATGATCCCAATGAATCATATATGAAGATAACATTGTTGTTATTAATAAAAAGAAACATGGTTACATCAAAGGGGACAACATTAAGCACATATCGCCAAAATTATTCTTTACACGTTAACAACAAGCATGTCAAAAGACTGAAGTGCAATGTATTGGATCAGAGAAGAATCATGCATAGTTGTTTACCAAGTCACTACCAAAGTATTCGTTCCAAAAACACGCCAGGGCCATTGGACTTAGGAAGTTCTCTAAGATACTTAAATAATAAATGATATGTATGTAAGATTACTTGGGTTGGAACTTGCTTTAATTACAAGCAAAAAGAAACAAGTATGCAACATGTAGAAGGAAAACATGAGAATGGAATAATTGAAACAAAACAATTACTTCAATAAGAATAAATTGAGAAAAGGTTTTGAATGCATATATATATATATATATATATATATATATATATATATATATATTATATCTATATATATATATATAAAATAAAAAAATAAAAAAAACCCTTAAATATGGCTACTTTCCTAAAATGCCCTTTGAACTAAAAAAACTTTGTTTGGCTCAAACTGATTATCCCAACAATCACCCCCCCCCCTTTTAATCGGTTTGGTCAACCGCTCATTCACAACAACCTTTAATCACCTTCGTTTCGAACCATATTGAGTCTCGACCTTTCCCGGACACCCGACCTTCACCTCGGTCACATCCAAAGCCTTTTCTCAATCCTATTGATTGTTGAAAACACATGTAAAATATAACATGTCATCCTGTTGGACACGTTCATTACCATCTAGACTTTTCCCGGATTCACGAACTCTCCCCGACCACATCCAAAGCCATCCGATTTGAACTTTCACCGCCATAATGTTCACATCGTGTTGTTTGACCATTCCCCTCATGTCTTGGCAACCATACCTTTGCCGATCAATCATATTCCGATATTTTCTTCCACCGAACGCCCTCGATTCAACCATCTCCCATATGTCGTATGCATCAATAATCAACTTGACTTTGATTGAAAACACCGGATAATTTGTTGGAGTCAAAATCGAAACCTGATACGTCATCGAACCTTATTCTTTAACCAACGACTTCCTTTTCTCCTTAACCCCGACTTCTTTAATCAAGCTTGTTCCGAGAGCACTCTTCCACCGGACAATAAAACAAGGTCACGTCCACGTTTATCGTCTTCCGTCACCCGCAAAATGAACTAAGTCAAAGCTACCCGCTTTGACGTCTTCCCGTCCGTTTATTTCGCGCCTCCGGCTAGTCTCTCACAAGCCCGATTAAGAGAAACCGGGGTTGCTTGTAATCAACCTCGAACCACACCCCCCTTCAACGAAACCGCTCTGATACCAAGTGTAAGATTACTTGGGTTGGAACTTGCTTCAGTTACAAGCAAAAAGAAACAAGTGTAGTTACAAGCAAAAGGAAACAAGTATGCAACAGGTAGAAGGAAAATGTGAGAATGGAATAATTGAAACAAAACAATTACCTCAACTAGAACAAATTGAGAAAAGGTTTTGAATGCATAAAAGAAATATCACATGATTGATCCTATTTTATACTAGAACTAAAAAAACTTGTTCTAAAAAAACTTTGTTTGGCTCAAACCGATTATCCCAACAATGTAGCATGCACGAAGTTGGCTCAAACCGATTATCCCAACAAAGTACTCTTTTTTGTATGTTTAGTTCAAAGGTTTTTTCCTGTAGGGTTTACCTTGACAAAGTTTTTTTTAACAAGACACAAAGTGTATCCCATTTATCACTAAGAATTATTGAAGTCAATAAGAGTATCCAGTTGAATACTTCTTCAACCATTATGTACTCTTTTGTCATTTCTTTAGAGTTTGTCCTACTTGGTTTTTCTTTAACAAAATTTTTAATGAAACACACTGTGTATGGTTATTCCTTTCGCTCAAGATATCCATATCATACATTTTTATCTTTCGACCAAAGTTTCTTTTTTCCAAAGGGTTTTTCTCCCGTAAGGTTTTTAACAAGGCATATGTTTGATGTATTCTCTGAAGATACAATACGAAGAAGTAAAAGTATAACAATGATTGTTTATATTTAAGTGTGTTATAAGTAAAAGCTATGTAAATAAATCCTACGACCTTTTGGTTTACTCAACATTTTCCCCATATATAAAGAGGTTTTTATTATTTGTAAACACACTTATATGATCAATAAAAATATTGGAATGAATCGTTGAGTTGAACATGTTTATCCTACAACATATAGAAAATTTTCACATTTGTCAAATGCACTTTTATCACTTAATTCTTGGACATCCATATCATTATTGTTATATAAAAATAATTTACTGATTTAACACTAAGGTCAAAACAACTCCAATAAACATGTGAAAGCTAAGTAAACAATATTATTACTTCATATAAAAACTCGAAGTAAAAGATTCAATATTACAAAACATTTCAAAATAGCATCAAAAGTAAATTTACATACATTATAAGCTATTGAACATAAACCAACTCCTAGTCCATGACTTATGGCAACACATTTATAAATTCCAAGCTAAGACATCTTCATCACACCAAATTTCACTCTTTGTTCTTCAATTGATCCACGTTTATTCATGAACACTTGATTCTTCAATGCACGATAATTTTCCTTTTTCTTGCCTTTTCTGTCGAAAATTATACATACTTTATCTCTAACAAATCATATTGGTAAAAAAAAGTATATTATTAGTTCAATAAAATTTAATCTCATCAATTATATTGATTATTTATATAAAAGATTCAAAAAAAGAGATAAAATTCGTTCAAGATTCTATATAATGACTAAAAAGGAGAATTTTAAACATACCGAGGCTCCCTTTGTCGAAGGAAGAAAACAAGTACTCCAAATCCTACCACAATTGCGATTTTTATTACCTAAAAATAAATTCAAGATTTAGAATCTTTAAATTCTTTAAAGATTATATGATCAAAAAGAAAAACTTTAACCTGTTTAACCGATCCATTAGAAGCTTCTTCATCTACACTTTTCGGACTTGAGTTTCCCAAAATATGAACAATTTCTTCACCTTGTTTCATATTCTCATCATTTCCACATTGCACTTCACCCTGAAATTTACATTTTAAGTAGACACAAAATCAAGAAAAATATATAAACTTGTTCATTTTAGGTGTCATTTTTGATCCATTTTTGCCAACTCTAATTCACAACAAGAGCTATAGAGATAAAGTCACTTACTTTCACAACAATTTCGGGTATAGAATTAGAAGCAACAATCTTTTCTTGATGATCTTTTTCTTCAATCTTGCAATCAATATCATGTTCAAAGTCCTCATGATTATCATTTGAAGTCATTCCACCATTAACACTCTCACTTTCAATATGCTCAATGCTCTTCTCATTATCAAGAGGCTTTCTTCCCGAAACCGTTGCATCTTCTTGACATGCTTCCGGAAGCTTCTTTGTGTTTGTTTCCATGAGAGTAAACTTCTCTTCATTATTTGATAAATTTTCTATTCCCTTTGAATCATTTGTTTCACTTGGTTTTACAAAGTTTTCAAAACCATCTTGTTCCTCTTTTGTTACATTAATGTTTTTTTGTAAATCACTCATGCTAAAAGAATTTCTAAGCCTTGTTGAACTCGATGTTTCCAACTTTTGATCATTATCTTTAACACGTAAAGTTCCAAGTTTGTATGATTTCATACTCAAAGGCTTTAGAGGTGTTCGATCCTGGAAATCAATTCACACTACACTTCAATAACATAATTTTAAATAAAATGATAAAATCCCTTTTGCTTTAGTGTGTTTATTGTGTCTTTTTAGGGGATTTTATTTATTGTACACTTCAATAACATAATTTTAAAGATGGGTATACAAACCTGAGATATACTGCTTTCAAATACACTAATCATCTTCTTTATATTGCGTGGAGTTATCTTATCTTGTTCTCCTTCTACCTTAGGTGAAAAAGATTTGATCTTTTTGGCAATAATTGATCTTGAAGAGGTTATATCTTGAGAAGATGTTTCTTGCAATCTTTTCTCATTGTTCTTAATTGTATTTACTTCAGTTTCTTGTGATGATGTAGAGGGTTTGCTCTTTTGGATCTTCTCTTCAAGATTCTGCTTATCTAACTTTTCATCATTTGATGGTTTTGATTCAGATGCATGAATGTTGGTGTCTTCTACTGATTCTTGTAATGAAGGTTGAATCTCATTGGACTTTATTGTATTCACTTCGGTTTCTTGTAATGAAGGAGTAGATGTGGTCTCTTTGTTTTTTATGTTTATGTCACATGTGATTTTTTCTTCAAGATTCTGCTCATATAGCTTGTCACCTGAATCACCCGATAAATCTAGTTTTTCTGCTTCATTATTCTTAATCAAGTCTGTTTGTGAAGCCTGAGTTTTGATTGTAGGAGGAAATGAAGTCTCTTCTTTTTTATCTGTAGGATCCTAAAACAAAAGAAAAGGTTTTGATTTTGACTTTGAGTTTTTTCATTCCAATAGAAAGAACCATTTCATTTCTTTCCTGATTCTATCATACTAAACACTTTTATATAACACTTAACTGTGAATGATTGCTTCTGAAAAGATTCTTCTTTTATCACATGGCTAGATTCTGCAGCCTTCAAGGAAATATCATCAAGAAGGTTCAAGCTACGAGCTTTTGCAGCATCACTATTAGAACTGCTTCTTTGAAAATATTGAGAAGACGTATCCCTCAAAACATCTAGACAAAACCTTTCAGAAAATTCCAGTGTAAGAGTGAATTGACAAATGGATTTAATAGGGACATAAGTTGACTTAATCTAGTAACCTATATGACTTTTATAAATTTGTCCTCATTCATTCTATGTTTTACAACAAGGCCTAAATGTTTCTTTAGATAGTGCAAGATCAAACCTGAGACCTCATGTCTTTGCAACAATGATGTGAGAGATTTGGCACTTTCTGTCTTTCTTAGCCTGCTATTAAGAATCTCAGCTTGCTTCTTCTTCATTGCAGCTTCTCTCTACAAGTAACAGGATAAACATAACTTCCAAACACTTGAAATTGATTAACATTAACAACACATCCAAACACACTTATATGGATATATATACATCATGGAATGAAAAAATGGTGAAAAATAAATAGAGTACCATTGAACGGATCCTATTGCGCTCCTCATCATTAAGAATGAACTGCAACTTCATATGTATAAGTCCACCTCCTTCAATGGGAAACAAGTCATCCCAAGTACCCTTTTCAATTATAGACATGGTTCGAATACCTAAGCCCAATATCAAATTGATCCTTGATTAGAATCAAATTAACCTAATCGTACACAATGTGAGATGAATTCCGGAGTTTTATGATAAACCTGAATGTGATATTTGATTTCCCTCGGAATCCTGAATTGAGATGATCAAATTGTCGCGCAGATTCGTTAATGGACTGTGCTAAAATCAGTATGTCGAATCAGTGTTTATAAACAAGAGCAATAATTAAGTTTAGAGTTCGGAATCTTACAAAGAGAAAGTCTCTTTCTCCCCGGCTTCATGCTCGACTTTCCCCAATGCAACTACATGATAAATTGGATCAATAACTAGTTCAAATGGTTTCGAGGTTCTCACAAATAGAGGCGATGAACAGATCGCATACCCTTTACAGAATTTGACGAAGATGGAAGCTCCTTGAAGTCCAGAACTATGAAATTGAAGGACCATGAAAAGTATAGTACTTGAAGATATCATAAAATTAGAGGTGGATATAGGAAGATAAGTACCTGAAACTTGAATGGATCCTGGCATTGGCTAGCAACGAGAATGAATCGAAGTGATTGCTCGTTTGGGTATTTGGTAATGCATGAAATTGACAAACTTTCGGATGGAATAATTGTGTTTGTGATTCGATTGCGTCTGTGTGGGTGGGGTATCAACTAATTTTATCCACGACATGCTATAAATGAAACCCCAAATTTTGTCTTACTCAAATAAACCAAGATAACGTAAACCCTAAAAATCTCCTGTAACATGAAATTTTGATCATTTGAGTATGTTTTTAGTACGCGGAGAAGCTGAACATTGATCCTTGGTAGAGTGGTGTTATGGTTTGTTATTATTATAATTTCAAAGTAGATTAAAGTATTTGAACATAGAATTAATTTATACTAGGTTTACAATACGTAGAAAGGAAAAAATATTTATAAAATAAATATATTATTAATAATAGTTATGATTTTATAAGATTTTTTTATTGATTCTTTGAAATGAATATTAATATTTGTTTGAATATCCAAAAATAAAGTTTTAATTGAAATCTATCAAAAATCCTTTGGATATATGCTGGCTCGGATTTTTGTATCCTATTCAAATATGATAAAAATATTTAGTTAAAAATTTTAAATTTAATAAAAATTTAAATTAGAATTCAAAATACAACTTATTAAAACAATATTATAAAAGTAGATTTACCATCTCATCTATCAGGATCATCTCTAGGGATTTTATTATATTTGGGTTTATATCCGAAAATGATTGCCACAAACGGATAATACAAACTTTTAACGTGTAATCACCTTTCATGTTATCCAATTCATTTATGAAAATGATGTTCTGGGCGGACATTGTCTAAGTAAAAAAAGGAGCAAAACACAGATACATTAACGTGGATTCTACTTAATGTTTATTTGGAAAATGTTTTGCAAGACAACAAAATATCCTCGAACAAAACACAGATACATTAACGTAGCTTAAGCCAATTTTTTGTTATTGATTGAGAAATAGAGCAAAAAGGATTACATACATACAGTTGGTAGACATATCCGGCCGATGACAATGTTGGAGAAGTTTTGCTCTTGTTTTCTGCAAAGGAAGAATGACAGATGTTCATGTAAATTGATAGTCAAAACATTTTTTACATTATATAGAAGTGAATTAAGATGAAAAGTAGGAAGTAAATCAACTCAAATATAATTTGAATTTAAAAAAATAAGATATCAGCAGTGGCGAGTCTAGAACAACAACCTACGTGGGTCACTATTTAAGTGAACCCGATAGAAATGGCATAGCTAAAAAAATACTAGTAATGGGTTGATTCATATAAGCAATTTTTTTAAAGATATTACAATTGTACCCGAAGAGGTCTAATATCTTGATATATGTCTACAATCATAGCATTACTAATACCATCTAAAATACTTTTTCAATATATGGCACTAAACCATCCACTAAGTTGGGAAACAAAAACAATCAAATAAAACTATGATGATTTCACAATAGATTGAATCAAAGGCAATCCATATTAAAACATACCACATGAAGAGATGAAACCTACCACACAAAACCAATTGTGCAGAAGTCAAAATAGATGCTCTTATCATTGGCGCCAAGATTACAGATTACGTATTAAATTGATTATGTCTTGAACTTTTGATTTCATTATATTTATTCATAACTATGAAGAAGATTAGAAGAAGTGTAAAACCGTTGAAGACAATCATTATCGATCACAAGTTCTGAGAACCTTCAAAGTTAAAACTCGATGTGAAGAAGAAAGCAATGTGGATTGCGGACCGAGACTAATGTGAATGTGAGGTTGTCGGCGGCCGGGGGGAGGCGAACAGGTGGCCTGAACGAGTGATCAGGAGTGACTTCTATCTTTGGTCGTTCTTTACGATTTGTGTGATTGCATCATGCGTATTTGCTAGAAACGAACGGGCAATTCACATTCAGTTTGTATTTTTTTTTCTTTATTTAATTTTAAAAGGTATTGGGTTACTTTTTGATGGACAATATTTGAAATAAACTAAAATTAGACCATTGAAATACAAAAGATGGGCTAAAAGTCCATGACCAATAAATTAAGATGGGTCATGTACAAATTTTAAGGTAGGTCATAATTTATTTTATTATATACTTGTAACACAATTTTTTTCTTTAGGTGGGTCAAGTGACCCACCTTAATTCGCAATAGCCTCGCCACTGGATATCAGAGGTTATCACTTCCTGATTTTTAGGGAGTTGATTGGAGTGAGTAAATTGTTTTGTAACCTCGAAATTTTATACAAATTTTAGGAAAATGAATTTGTTTATTTAATAAATAGGGACCATTTACGAAACTTATTAAAAGAAATAGGGAGCATATATGTAAAATTATGAAATAACAAGGAAAAGTAAATGATAATTAGTAATAAAGTTCCTTGGTTACAAGGATTATGACTTCCTTATTTTAAAGGATTTTGACGGAGTTGATTATTATAGAGGGACTTTATTAGAGTGAATATGGTAAGTTCTGAAAATCACATAAAATAGGATATTAGTTACATTGTCATATGAGCAGCACATGTAATGTAATCGACATATTATATGAAGGAGGGGCAAATTAGGAATTTAACATTGAAGGAGGATTGTTGTTGAAAGCTACATGTGGCAGTTATGAGTGTTTTATTAGAATGGTAGATATACCAAATGAACATCAGTACCATCTTGATGATGATTATTTTCGTTATTATTATTGTGAATAGTCAAGAGATTAGATTATCATAAAAAACAAATAAGACATCATCACAACATTTGGCCATCAAATCAATGCTAAAAGAAAACTTAACACAACCATAAACCATGCTCTCATAAGTAAATACAACTAAAGATATGTTGTTATCTTGGCTAATGACATGTTGCACTTGTTAAGTCTAACCCGCTAGGTCATGACTCATGACTTATCGTCCAAAACATTGTATGAGAGCACACAATCAAGGATCTATTGAAATATGTAAATTTTTCAATTTACTAATCCTATTTCAAAATTAATTACCTTTACTAAGTCGGTTTTTTGCAAGGGTATAAAGTATATATGTTAAAGTTTAAGGGTGGTAGAAGAGAGTAAAAGATCACACGAATCGCTATGATGTGAATTATATGGACTTTGTTAAAAGGTTGTTAGAAGATTAAGGATCGGATATCAATTATTCTTATTATATTAGTACTAGTTGGGTTATTTTGTTAAGTAGTTGTGTAACGCCCCGATTCTCAGGTATTGATTTAAATAAGAGTTTCTTTGTTTTCAAGGTCTACTCGACGAGTTGGTTGCCCTACTCGTCTAGTAGGAGCAGGTTGGTCCACGTATTTTAGTGACCTACTCGTCGAGTCCAAGAAGGAACTCGACGAGTAGGAGCTGGCAGAAGAAACCCTAAATCCCGGGGTTTTGCACCATATTTAAAGAATCATAAGCCTCCTTCAGCCTCTTTACAGTCTCTTGAGAGTCCAGAAAACCCTAATCTGTGTGGTGCTTCATTCTTGTGTGTTTTAAGCTTTGAAAAGTGGATATTTGTAAGGAGAGCTTGGAGGGCAAGAGGCTAGAAGAAAGGAACGTGTGGGGATCTGATATCTACCTCAGTTAACATCTTTTGGAAGGTATCAAGTCGTTACCTTGACCTCTTTTCATTCTAGATCTATTTTGGGTGGATTTTAGGGCTTTTCTAACTTATTAGGAAGCTTTTCTTATGTTTGAGCTAAGATCTGAGGTTGCAACCTCAGATCTGAACTCTCTTGGGTCTCTAAGTCCATAAAGTTTCCAGATTTTGCAAGAATGAGACTCTCCTAAGGTGTAAAGCTCCATTAAAAGCTTAGATTGGTCATTTAGAGTCTCTAGGGCCTTGCATGCACGTAAAGTTTGCAACTTTACGTGATAAACATGCCTTAGAAGCTTGGATCTGCAATATGGAGCCGCTGCATGACTTAAAAAGTACCTGTATGGATGAAGGTCTGAAGAGACTCGGCGAGTTGCATAGTCAACTCGACGAGACTCATAAAGATGGTCCTGTACTCGACGAGTTGGATGAACAACTCGGCGAGTCCGATGAAGATTGCCTTGAACCCGGAGCGTCAGTCGAATGACTCGGCGAGTCGGTTAGGGTTTTCCCAACCTTCGAACATGTATGAACTCGGCGAGTTGTAAAGGGAAAACTCGGCGGGTTGGCCAAGGGGTTACGGCCACAGACACTAGGAACTCGACGAGTCACTCGAGTGACTCGGCGAGTTGGCGAGTCATGCCAGGAACTCGGCGAGTAGCTAAGGGTACTCGACGAGTTGAGGTCAACATGGATTGTTGACCTTGAAAGTTGACTTGGACTTTGGGCAAGGGTTGACTATTGGACCTCTGGAAGTATCTTGGAAACCTATGAACTTTGTGATGTGTCGGATATAGGTGGTGGAGTTTGTGGTGGTGATCCGGGAGTTGAGCTTTCTGGTTTCAGACGACAGTTGTGAGGTGAGTTATCCTCACTATACTAAGGGGTCTAAGGCACCAAGGCCGGCCCATTGGTTATGTTATTTTAGCAGTATTAGATGTTGGATATGAGTTAGTGTTGCATGCTAGTGGTTATGCTAGTTAGGTAGATCTGTAGGACTACATGTGTTGTTATATGATTATTTGCATGCACAGTGGTTATGTTTATATTGGGACATGTTATGTGGGATGGGTTGAGGTGATACTGCTTCGTGCGGTAACCAACAAAACCGGGAGCATCCCAGATGCGAGCTAAGGGGGACTCGTGTTGTGGGACTCGAGAGCATTCCAGTTATGAGCTGAGGAAGACTCGTACTGTGGGCTCGATGGCAAGCCAGGTGTGAGCTGTGGGCCTGTAAGGCAATCCAGACTCACATTGTGGGCCCAGGGGGTAATCCAGTCTGTAAAGCTGTGGACCCAGTACATGCTGTTGTTTATATATGTGTTATGTGTAGTGTATCGGTATTTTGGGGGAATTCACTAAGTTCTCAGGCTTACAGTTTCAGTTTATTGTTTCAGGTACATCAGGGGATCGCGGCAAGGCGAAGGCGTGATCGTACAGCTCCTCATAGTTATGTTTATGTTTCTGGGATACTCTGATATTATACATTTTGGAAACAAGTTTGTAATAACTAATGGTTTTTGGGTTGTTTAAAAAGTTTTAAATTGGCTTGAATTTTTTTTTGGTATTACAAGGTTAAACAATTTGTATATAATCGTCAATCTACTATCATTTCTCTCATTCTTTAACCTATATGAGCACGGTGATCTAATTTTGCTCGAATGTTGTAATCTGCTTT